ACCCTGTCTCTAAAATAAATAGCTGGGCATTGTGGTGGGCACCTGTAGTCCCAGCTACCTGGGAGGCTGAGGCAAGAGGATCTCAAGCCCAAATTTGAGGTTGCTGTGAGCTATGATGCCACAACACTCTACTGAGGGTGACAAATGAGACTCTGTCTCAAAAAAAAAAAAAAATTCGGTAGCAAAAAGATAACAGGAAAATCTCTATGTTTGGGAACTAAACAACACACTTCTAAATAATGGATGGGACAAAGAGAAGGACTCGTGGAAAATAAATATATTGTAGTTAATGAAAATAAGACATAGAAAAATTTGTAAGATGCAACTAAAGGAGCACTGAGAGACATTTATAGAAATACATACATACATTTAGAAAACACATATAAAGCACTAAATACATACAGGAAATCTCAAGTCAATAACCTAAGCTCCCACTACAAGAACCTAGAAAAAGAAAAGTAAACCAAAAACAAGTGGAAGGAAGTAATAAAGAAGAGAAATAAATGGGACTGAAACTAGAAAATGAAAGAGACATCAATGAAACAAAAGGCTGCTTCTTGAAAAAAAAAAAAAAGAAAGCAGTACAATTGACAGGGTAACCCCCCCAATTCCCCCCGCCCAGTGAATTACCAACATCAGGAATAAAACTTGGGATAGCTCTAGAGACCCTACAGACATTAAAAATGTAATATGGGGGCAGTGCCTGTGGCTCAATAGGTAGGGCACCAGCCCCATATACCGAGGGTGGCGGGTTCGAACCTAGCCCAGCCAGCTAAAACAGCAATGGCAATTGCAATAACAACAACAACAACAAAAAAGCCGGGCATTGTGGTGGGCACCTATGGTCCCAGCTACTCGGAAGGCTGAGGCAAGAGAATCACTTAAGTCCAAGAGTTGGAGGTTGCTGTGAGCTGTGATGCCATAACACTCTGCTGAGGGCGACAAAATGAGACTCTGTCTCAAAAAAAAAAAAAAAAAAAAAAAAAGTCCTATAACTATTAAGGGGAATGAATTAATAAAAAATTAAAACTCCTAAGTCAAGATGGTTTCCCTGGAAAATTCTACCAAATGTTCTATAAAATCTCTTCCAAAAAATAGAAAGAGAGAGGACATTCCCTCATTCATTTTATGAAGATAGCATCATTACTCTGATACTAACATGAAAAAAGATCACTAAAGGCTAAAATGTCTCATAAATATGGACATAAAATCCTTGAAAATATTAAAAAATAGATTCAGACATATCTTATAGGAATTATTCACTGTGATCACTGTTTTTCAGGAATGCAAAACAGATTCAATATTTAAAAATCAGTCAATGTAATTCACCACCAGATTAAAGGAAAAAAAGGATGTGATGATCATCTCAATGGATGTAGAGAAAGCATTTGACAAAATTTAATAACCTTCCATGATAAAAGCCCTCAGAGAAACCAGTACAGAAGAGAACCACTTCAACTTGATAAAACAATCTATATAAAGCCTACAATTCGCACTATACTTAATGGTGAAAGACTATATGCTTTCCCCCTAAGATCAGCAACAAAAACAGGTGGTATCTATTCTCATCACTTTTATTCAATATAGCACTAGTCAGTAGTGCTGGAAGTTTTAGCCAATGCATAAGGCAAGAAAAGGAAATAAAAGATTATATAGATTAAAAAGAAGAAAAAATATGCCCCTATTTGCAGAAGACACTGCTGACTATATTGGAAAGAAAAACTCCTAGAGCTAGTAAGTGAATTCAGCAAGGTTGTAAAACATAAGAGAAACATTACAAATTAATTCACTAGCAATGGATAAGTGGACACCAAAATCAAAGCTAAAATTCCATTTATAATCACTCAAAAAATGAATTTCTTACAGGTTTGTATGCCAAAAATGATAGAACACTAATGAAAAGATTTAAGGAAGATCTAAATAAAGTCATCCTATGTTCATCAACTAGAAGACTTATTGCTATTTAGAATGAATGCAATTGCTGTAAAAATCTTAGCAACATTATTTGTAGAGAGGGACAAGATTATTCCAAATCTACATGGAAAAGCTAAAAATGTAGGATAGCTGAAAATAATTTGGAAGACTTATTATACAACTATAGTAATAAAAACTATATGGTATTGGTGAAGGGAAAGATACATAAATCAAGAGAATAAAACTAAGATCCCAGTTTTATGGGATGCTCAACGATGTATAAAGGTACAAAAGATATTTAGTGTTAGAAAAATAGCCATTTTGACACATGGTGTGGAGCAATTGGACATCCAAAGGCAAAAACTGTACTTTGACCTGTCTCATAGCTTGTACAAAAAATTAACTGAAAATGAATCATAGACTTACATATATAATGTATAAGGGAAAACTTTTAGAAAAAAAAAGAGAAATTCTTAACAATCTATGCAAAGAATTTCTAGAGTTGACAACAAA